TCGCCCATGAATTGTTGCGTTTGAGTCATGAACGAGGCGAACATATCTTCGATTGTCGGCTTCTTCGGCTCATTGATGACCCCGTTGGTCACCGAAAATCCGGGAAGTGGTTGTAGAGCATTATTCGGTTATGCATATGATAAACTAGGGTGATTCCGGTTGCCTTGGTAATAAGTGTTTCCCGCTTGAGGTCCTCGAAAATTTCCAAAATTCCGGTCATTCAAATAACTCACATCCTCGACTGGTTCTCCAACTCTTACGCTCTCATTCTTCCCCACTTGCAACTTATTAAGTACCATTGCAGTCGCTTGAGCTACCATTGTCGCCACTGAGTCCATCTCATTTGTAGCTGCCACCCTCTTAAGCATAGTTCTCTCGACCGGCCACTGATAGCTATTTGACGCCATCTCCTCAAGAATTCGCTTCGCGTCGTTCGGTCGCCTTCCCGAAAGGGCACCTCCAGCTGAGGCGTCCACCATAGCCTTCATCGGGCCACTCAATCCATTGTAGAAATAGCAAATTTGGTGCTCCTCCGAAAATCCATGCTGAGGGCACGTCCGAAGGAGTTGCGTGTAGCGCTCCCAAGCCTCATATAAAGGCTCACCATCTTGTTGCTTGAATTGAGTGATCTCTGTCTGAAGTCTCAACATCTTGCTCGGTGGGAAGAACTTCAAGAGAAATTTCTGACGCATCTCATCCCATGTTGTCACTGTCCCGGCCTCAAGAGAATTGTACCACACCTTGGCTTTATCTCTAAGAGAGAAAGAGAAAAGCCTAAGCCGGATAGCATCCTCCGGGACTCCATTGTACTTTACCGTACCATATATCTCCAAAAATTGCGCCAGATGCGCATTCGGGTCCTCGATTGCAGCTCCCCCAAACTGTTCTTGCTGCACCATTCGAATCAAGGACGGGCTCAACTCAAAAGTATTAGCCGCAATTCTCGGCCCGTGACCTCCTCCGTATACTTGATCAGCATGGGGTTGGAAGATGTTCCGAACCGGTGTTCCTGTCTCTTGTTGAGCCTGCTGCGCAGCTAATTGGCGTTGTAGCTCCGCCATTTGTGCCTCGAGCTGTCTATACCTCTCTTCACCATGTTCCTCAGTGATTAAAATAGCGCGCGGCGAACCGAGGCGACAAGGCTCCAATTTGCCATGGCGTGAGGCGTGCGGCGAGGCGCCCGCCTTATGAAAGCGAAGCGAGCCATTACAAAAAAAAAATAGAAATATATGTATAGTTGTATATGAGACATTTTTACCAAATTATGACACAATTATTTATGGAGATATAAATGATAATAGCTAATAAATATGCAACAAAACACCACACATTAAAATGAAAACAACAATAAATAAAGTTCAAAAAAACTAACAAGTAGCATCCATATCCAACATGACCAATAAAGCAAATAAACAACAATATTCATAGTTTCAAGTTCCACCTTCCAACAAAAGCAACACCAAAAGAAACAACTAAAATTAGTTTCACTTCCACAATAAATACTAGTCGAGGGAAAGTTCTTGGACCGCGGCGACATCATCATCCGACTTATATCGATCCACATCCTCTTCTTCCGCATCATCGTTGATAACATCATCATTCCATTCACAAT